GAGGCTCTAGCAATTCATCAATACAACCCTGAACTCTGTATACAGAAAAAGTTTGTCCAGTCTCTTATTCTACCTTGGTCTTAACCTCTTCACTAATCGTTCCTTGTAAATAAAATATATTTTGATTTTTCTTTTCATTCTAATTTCACTTTTAGTTAGCTTTTGCTTTAATAATTAATTCACTATTATCACTCTCATGTGCTCCTTTTGTATATTTTCACACCCTCTTCACACTTGTTAAATTGACACTCAAATACCTTTATTCTCACTTAATAGCAATTTTAACCTTATCAAATTTCTATCTTTGTGCCGTTGAATACCACGTAATTTACAACTTTTAATTTTCACTTCTAAAGCCACTTCTGAGTAATTACATCAATTATGTCACCCCCTATTACTCAATAATAGACCATTATATATTTTTGTAAGTATAAATACGATTGTACAGCCTCTGAAGATGATTTCGTCGATAAAGAAAATTTTCTTCGCTGAATCTGTCTTTTATTTTATGGTTGATAAGGTATGGGGAGAAACTTCTTAGTATTTTTCATTGGACGTTGGTTTACAGTAGTCTACGTTTTCAGTGGAAATCCCTTTTTTTTCATAATTCATGATGGTTAATACTGAAATATTTCATTGGTGTAAACAGTCTGAAAGAGCGGACCAAATGAAAATCAAAACAAGTAATTCACTGAAAAGACTTTTCAATGAAGTTATCATCAAGCTGTACAATCGTATATAGTTGACTTTCAAGAAATTATATCCTGTGAGGAAATTCAAACAAAGGCGTGAATCCATAGAATAATGGTGAAAGTACGAAATGCGATAAAAACGTTTGTGATTATAATCGTAGTTGAATGTCAAATGTCAAGTGGCAAAACAAATCATGTCATACACGTGGAATAGTTCATAGGATGTATGAATGATGGAAGGGGTGTAAAATCGCAAGGTTAGTGTGCTAATGAAACAGCAACTTCACATAACATGGAGTGGAATTCGATAACACAGAGTTCAATGCTACAAAGGAAAATTGATTTAGAATAATAAGAGGGACAATTGAAATAATACCAGAGAATTGAAGATGATAACAATGCTAGTAACTGACAACGACGAATAATAAGTGGGTCAAAAATATGAATGAGGATTATCACGCTTTAGCATAAACGGATTACGACCATAAGAGTTACAAGCATGGAACAAACTATTTCTGTATACAGAGATCCGGCTTTTCTATTTCAATGGCCGAAGCTTCAGCAATATAGATGAGTCGGATATGTGATGATTCAGGTAAATCACTTTTCTCCTTGTAGATGGCTATAAGCCAAGAAACTGTAGATATAGAGTGACCAGTATCCACGAGGTGTTCCATGATTGCGCTTCTTATAGCTCGACTCCCACTTCTTCGTTACCATGCAGGACAATATTCTTGTATGCTCATGGACAAAACGTGAGTTGAACGATCAATACACTCAGTTCCACACTAGCAGATCAATTGATAAACGCACATAATGGTTGACTAGAAAACGCTATTCTAAACGATGCAGCAGAGAATGTCGTTTTCAGGGACTGTGAGATCCCTCTTTTAATGATGTCAGCAGCTGAGTCATCTTTGAATTCCAAGTTCATGAAAATCGTTTTCTTGGTTACGGACGTTAAGTCACATTTCATAGGTTTTGACTTCATTTTCAGGTTTATAAAACTTGGAGGAAATCCATTTTCCATTTCTTTTATTCCTTTGCGTTCTCAGTGGAACATAGGGCTTCAAGTCTCAGCTTTGAAGTTTCGGTAGCAGTAGTGTTCATTTTTACGGGATCGTGTTGCTACCTTCAGTCTTATTACTGGCTTAGCGAGGTAAAAGATTGGGTCAGCCGGGGATCGAACACCGGGCCACATGCGTGGGTGGTGAGCATCCTGCCGTCTTGCCACCGACGCACCCCACTTTCAATCAGGATCCTATATATATACCACTGACATCAACCAGTATTGCTGTCTAACCATATCGAGTTGGTGTAAACATTGAGTGTTCGTTCCGCCAGTTTGGGGGCTAAGCCCCTCATTGATATACTCTGAAACTCTGATAGAATTCCATATCGGATAGTGTAAATAGCAAATTAACCATTATTTTATTCCTTTGTGTTCCCAGTGGAACACAGAGCTACAGCCTAAAGCGCTGAAGTTTCACTAGAAGTGGTAGTTATTTTTTACACGTTGGCGTTACTAGGCTCCCCTCGCTTAGCCTTCCCTCTTTGCCTGACTTACTACTAGCTAGGGGGGTGAAGGGGTGCACCGACCGGGGATTGAACCCAGGATCATGTGCACGGTTGACTAGTATGCTACCGCTGAACCACTGACGGATAAACTATGAATTATGTAGACTTTATTGTCTTCGCGCTGAATTAAATCTTCGCCTTTAGGAATCTTCTTCTGTAAATATGCATGCGTATTCAGTTTGTTTTTTGTGGTAGACTTGTGAACTGGAATTTCGATGACAGACAAACAGCACATTATATCTGTGTATATAACCTTATCTTTCTGTTGCATGATTTTGCTCCAGTTCTTCCAAAGGCTTAAGTCGCCCTCCTTTGCTAGTTTGACAGGACAGCCAATCTTCGAGTTGGAAGGTACCTATTCTTCCTTCCAAACTTTCTGCAATAATGCCATCAGGAAACCTGTTGAAGTCTCTGAAACTATTTCGAGTGCTTCTGGAGAAATCCCATTCAATACTGTTGCCCTCTTGCCTTGGTTGCATCCAAGGCTTCTGAAAATAAAATCTTTGAAAACTGACACTTGAAAACACAGGAGAAACTCAGTAATATTTATAGGCCTAACATTGCAGAAACACATAAATACCAACAGCAGAGATTCACACTCACGAGAAGCTCATGAAATGACAGTAATCTCACAGCCTCTCAGGTTGAGTGATTCACAAAGTGAGGTTCACTAATATCAACATGAATTCAATTATTATTACTATAATTACCTTCTTTCACTGAATTTCTAAATGAACTTAACCACCTTTAGGTTCGATCACAAGCTGACATCCGTTAAGTAGCCAGTGGAAAGCCTGGGAGTACTGGAGAGCTGTTCGGGAACCACTGGGGTCCAAACGCACGACCTTCCAGTTACAAGGAGAGCTTGTAGACCGTTCAGCCACTGAGATTCGGTCCAATGGCCAGCCGATGAATCCAACTTCTGCCTGTTCGCGATATGTAATGCCTGAAGGTCCTGAATTCGAACCCCATTGAGTGCTTACTCCTAAGAACTCCCAAGCTAGGCTTACGAAACAGCAGCTGTCTAACTGATATCAACTCCTGGTTCAATCTGTAACCAACCAAATCCCGGAAAACAAACATTTGGTAATTATTAATAAGGCATTTAGAAGATAAATTTCACGAAATGATATCTTCATTTCGTAGTTTCTTTACAACCGCTTTACAACTAACATGGTTAACAATAATAAAATCAAATGCATGACAATTACTCAGTTATATAAAACAAAAGTACATACTAATGACCAATCATATTTAAATAGGTCAAGTAGTCCATTGTAGGCGAATGTTGAATGAAGTCTATTGTTTTTTGTACACATAGTTTAGGATGTATGTGATTAATCCAAAGTGCTTCCATCACCTTCAATAACATTGAATTAGAGCTACATGAAATAACTGTGAAACAGTCATAATTATTGATTTTGTGACCTGACATTAATGAGTGTTTTGCAATGGATGATGCTGGATTTCTATTCAGATTAATCGCATTGGGATTTTCTATATGATTTTGTAGCCATTTTGGAACATGTTCTTTTCGACGACCATATTGGAACATTCTATTGGTTCTATCTATATAGGTGTCACAACAACTGCAGGTGAACTTGTAGATATAGTTTGAATTTCGTCCTTTAATCTTAGGTACATGGGTGGAAATTGTTCGGCACGTCAGAGAAAGAGATGTGGTGTGGAATTTGAGTTTGATGGCTGACCGAAGTCTTTGAGCTAGCTGTCAACCGCATAATCTGGTCACCCTTGAATAGTAGGTTGATAAAGATAGCTTTCTTAAGAACGGAAGCTGCCTTTTGAAGATATGGTCTATCCTTACTATGACAGCTGATAAAATTTTATGGATCACCATTTGCTTATGCAACTTAATGTATATGTCGAAGTTCATCCATCAATGTGTCACTCGTGCATATTTTTCGAGAACAAACATTTCACTAGGGAACTTTTATAATGGATAGGAACAAAACTGGTGAAATGAAGATATCGTCCACTCCATGTCTGTTTACGAAAAATAGACCGCTGAATCGTTCCATCGTCTCTCCTGGTCATTGCAATCTCCAGGAAACCGAGTTTGTTACTCGACTCGAGTTCAGAAGTCACTTGGATATTTGGATGAATATGATTTAACAGAGTAATAAAGTTTTCAATAGATTAACTATTATTATTGCATAAATTCTCCAAGCATATCTTGCATTTGTTTCTCTAATTTCTACGTGAATATATCTGCCAACAAGGGCCCAAGAGGGCTGCCCACCGTGACACCATCGATTTGTTTGTATGTCTTTTCTTGGAAGTTGAATCTGATATTTTCTGTACATATTAATATGATGTCTCTGGTGTAAATGACAGGAATAGGTAAGTTTACCCCAAAGCTTGTGATCTAATCGCAAATGAAATCAACAGTTTCATTAAGGGGAACATTGGTGAATAAAGAAAGATTCTAAGTCGACTGAGCACATAACCTTTTCCATAATGTTCAAGGAGTTTAGCATATCGGTCTGATCAAATGGACTTTTTACAGAATGATTTGATAATAAGTCTCTTATGAGGAGTAAAGATCTCTGTAATCCATTCTGCCTTATTCAAATTTATCAAAGGGACCAATTGTTTTAATTTGATATTTTAAGCCTTCTGTAAGGAGCTATAATTAGCAATACTATGCAATCAAATGTCACATAATTCTAAATAACCCATTTTTATTTTTGTCAATTATAATTTCAATAGCCAAACATCAGTCGGCTAAAGATCTAACCCAACAATTATTCAACATATTTGCAGTTGGAACAATTCTCCTTGCAATGGTGATTGATGTAATACAATTCTTCGCAACTTCCGAAAGTCAAAAATTATTCACAAAATTCATGTTCTGTCTTATAATTATCAGCTGTAAGTTGTGAACATTAAAAAAATTAATTGCGATGTAGTGGGAGTGAGGCATGCGCTACTGACAAGGTTTGTGAGCAGAATATAGAATCAGATATGAATATATATATAAGCCGACATCAATTAGAGAACCACTGGAAACCAACAGGGAATACTGGACAGTACAGGCTACTGGTTCGAGTCCCACGCAGTGACCGAATGATCTACAAGCTCGCTTTGTAACCGGAAGGTCCTCAATTCGAACTTCAGTGAGTGCTTACTTCCTATGAATAGAAAACTAGAATGACAGAAAGAGTTGTCTAGTACTCCCCTCTGATTTCCAATGGTTCTCTAACTTATCCCTGATCCGTGATCAAACTTGAAATAAATCAAATCCTTACAATGAAACTCACGAAGATTATTTATTTTTCTTTACTTCCAGGAGAAAAAGTGGTAAAAATATGCGCCTAACTTGTGACTGCAAAAGTGTAACACCTCTCTCCCTGCCTTCCATTAGACAAACAAAATTGCATTAAATTAACTATATGGTGACTGACTGGCTGGCTTCAATGTAGAACTTTGCACCTATGTGAAGCACCAGTTCGAGTTGCCACTCTCCCTCCCTCCACGTAGTACACAAAGCAAGAGAAGAGAGTAAGCGTATTTTCAAAACACAGATAATAAACAGAATTATTAGACGAAAAGTAGAGTAATATGAAAGAACAATAGAATTTTATTGGATATTATAAATCATAAAGAGTGAATGCATCGACAATGACTTTGAGCCATATCACTAACTGTCTCCAGCCAGTGGTTTTTACCATCCTAAGGACCCCAACCACACTGACAGTCTACACCTCCCTACGTGGCCGTCTGGCTTAAACTAACTGATGATTCCCTGTTTTAGTTTGACCACCACCACGTGCTGGCTCTTTACCAACCTGATCCTACGTCAGCTAACATTACCAGTTAACATTCCCTATTGATAGCTGCTACCTGGATGTGGTGGTCGATCCTGCATATTACAATGACCCAACAAGCTACACTGACAGGCCCTGCAGGTCCTACCATGGTAGAAAGATTGTTAGGATAGCGATTAGACTAAAAGCAGTTACCAGCATAGTGTAAGCTTTTCTTACACTATGCAGGGGATCTGTGGACAGAATTGTACTGCTGGGTAACAGAGATATATAAGCCGCAGTAAGGTGTTTCCCCCAGATGACCAGCATACCAGCTAGCGATGCTTTCTTTTTACTCTGCAGAGAAGGGGTTAGAAAGGTTCGACCCCGAAAATTCTACATCCGACTAACCTTAGGGTGGTCTTTAACTAGCAGTAAGTTACTGATGCGAAACCAAGCCTAAATGTCAGTTCGGACAGGCCGTGTGTGACCGGCCTCAAGTAGTTGTCATCTGGGCTCTGCTGTCATGTAACACTGATTCCCTTTCTGTTTCAGTTACCTCAGGAATGAATCAACTTCCACAGCAAGGGCTACCAGGAGGTAAAAGCACACGAAGCCCTACTGATTGACTGTGATTGGCTTGATTAGAACTCATCGTTCGTTCTTTTGAGTTCCGATTGGAATATGTGGCTTTGAAGCTTCACTAGAGGTGGCTTTGTTTTGACGGGGTGTGATTCGCTGACCTCACACCCAACTTGCCCTCATTTACCAGGCTTACTATCAGCTAAGCAGGGTTTAGGAGTGTATGGGTAGGGAAATGAACCCGGAAACCCCCCGTATCTCTTTGTCAGTCTACCATTGAACCACCGGGCTGAAATTTTCACTGTAGAACACGATTGAAGGTCTTCTCAAATGGCAATAAGTGGACAGTGACATCAATATGAGTGGAAGAAACAATGTATTCATGTAACATTTTAAGCCTCATACTGTATCTATTTGTCCAAACGGGAACAACTATCCCCTGAGTAACCTACAGACGTATTGTTCTGTTGTTTAATAAAGTGTGGTAATAGCTAACAATTGAATCGCAGGATCACAAAAGTAAGACATACCTTTATGAGCCTGAAATCAGTGTGTAAATCCACCGTACTCAGCATAAGTTACCTGATCTGGATATTCAACAAGAGTGTTACGTCACCACTCCCACACTGTTCAGAGATTTGGCGCGCACATAATGAGCGGTAATTACGACTGGCCCCTGCTGGGCTACATACTGAAGATCTGACGGTCGGCCAGAAAGGATACACAACTAGGAACTCTGGAAAGCAAAAACCCAATGAGGAATCTATCGCCAAACCAGCAAATATGCCAGAGGAGATAAAGATGGATGAGAAACACGCACCAAGCTTGTTCTTGAGCTGAACTCAAGTGCGAAACAACGAATTTGGTATGGATCGGAGGGTAACATGAAGGAAATCGTGTGAGGATGAAATGAAAGCCCGCGAACAATCATGGAGCCCATGTTGAAAAGGACTCCAGGGAACATAGTGAAGTGGAGACGAGCTGCTGAAGTCCCATGTTCCTATTGTAATGCAAAGCAACAGAAAATGTAAATTTTAAGAACTGTCACCTTTATTATTGTGAGCAGACAGTCATTCATAATGCGGATATCCGAAATGTTCCATGTTAGGAGGGAATTATCAGGGATCTTTCATCTGTGCTTTCAGGAAACTCGTATATCACGTAATATTCTGACAGGCAATGAAGACTGTCACAGTCGGCTGCTCTACATCTCATCCCTACGGACAGATCGCTAATCACCCTATCGGAATCAGCTGTCTATGCGTGTCGGTTGATGTAAAGTAACCTATGCAACTGTCGCTTACAGAATAGAACAGACATTACATTCAACTGACCTTGAACCTGCCAATCACATGCCTTCCCAGCATTACAAAATGGATGCTTTTCATAATCCTTGTTTCATCCATTTGTAATGCACGCCACCGATCTGATTGGTTGGTTCTAGGTCATTTGACGTTATGGTGCCCATTCTTTACTCCTGCCCAACTATCTATTCCTGGAAGCTGGCAGAAATCTATGATTCAAGTGTGCTACTTGGTCAAGTGGTTCGCTAACACTATGGTTCGCTTTGTTTACAGTCAGACGTCAGTAACCTTTGATTTCATCGACTACTATCACTCGTTCTCTAACCTTGTAATCCACTATTTGTAATGTTTACTGTTAACAGAACTGAAACGTGTGACAAAAATGTTAAGGTTGTGTAATGGAGAGTTCACAGATTTATGAATAAAACTGATACAATCCTAACTCATTGAGTGCAAAATCCAATTTTCAATATTTCCGTATTTTAACCGAAATCACTTTATCCTATTAGTGCACAGAAACCACCAACCTAAAGGGATAAAAACCATGTTTTTATCCATTCGATTGTAGTTTCAGGGTGATTTGAAATCAAAAGGTAATTCAGTGAAGACAGCTTTCTTTATCGACTAAATCATCATCAGAGGTTGTACAGTAGCATTTATATTTACTAAAAATGGATATAATAGTTCATGGCTGAGTAGTAGGGGGAAGGGTGACACAATTGATATAATTACTCCGAAGTGGCTTCAAAAGTAGAAAATAAGAGTTATAAATTGCATAATACTCAACAATGGCAAAAAAGAAGAAAGGGCTAAGAATGTGATAAGCTTAAAATTGATACGGAGTAGTGAGAATAAAGATACTCTTTATCCTCAAGAATAAAATGGACATGCACCAGTGATACAATCGATGGGAAACTGGAGCGACTCGGATAAGTCCTAATGGAAATTCGATATCCTTCAAGATTTATCGAGAAGAACATGAAAGTTAGGCAAAAGCCCGAAAGAGCCCAAGCGGCTCCGAAGAAACTACTCTTTATGAGTGTTGAATTTAATGGTTGACATGGTAACTAGGACTCTGAAAAGCCCTTGTCTAGATAACTGAGAAAAGCCTTCTTTTCTGCCCATTGGTGAATCTATTTCTACGGCCAACAAATGATAAATGGATGTGTGAAGGATAAGTTGCCGCTTTGAGCCACTTCAATGTGTTTTTATAAACTCACTTATTCCTGTGGAGTTACTTAAACTGGTCACACAAGGCGCACTCTTTCCAAACGCATCTCTGAACATAATCTGACATTGTTAACAAAGAGACAATACAAGACAGTTACTAACTCAATTCTCAAGCCACGTAGCTCCACCAGAGTCTTCTTTTAGGGTTATCTAGATGATGAAATTGAACAGTAAAAAGAGAGTTAGGTTTCAGTATTTGTGTATGGCGGAGGCATTGGCAGTTCGTGAATACAACCCCGAAGTCTATATAAAGAAAAAGTTTCTCCAGTGTCTTATTCTACTCTGGTCTTAACCTCTTCACTAGTCGTTCCATGTAAATTTTTTACATTTTAAATTTTGCTTCCAGTTTGTTTTTACTTTATTAACTAATTTACTATTATCCACTAACATGTTTGTCTTGTACATTTTCTCGTCCTTTCCACGCTTGTTAAATTGACACTCAACCTTCTCAGTGTTCAATATTAATTTTAAGCTTATCACATTCTTAGCCCTTTCTTCTTTTTGCCATTGTTGAGTATTATGCAATTTATAACTCTTATTTTCTACTTTTGAAGCCACTTCGGAGTAATTATATCAATTGTGTCACCCTTCCCCCTATTACTCAGCCATGAACTATTATATCCATTTTTGGTATATCTAAATACTACTGTACAACCACTGACGATGATTTAGTTGATAAAGAAAGCCTACTTCATTGAACTGTCCTTTTTTCCCCATTACTCAATGAATATTTTCAGTGATAAGAAATTAAAATCAACTGAAAAGATGATTATTGTGGTTTGTATTAGATATTGAAAAACAATGACAGCATATTATGTATATAGTTATTTTCTATTCTTTTAAAATGTGTCGCCGATTTTCCACAACTATGCGTCCGTACTTCAACAGTAGAATGCCAGCCAACCGTGCCTCACGTGATCCTAGAGTAACTAACGGTAGATGAGACTTGATAACAGAGTGTTCGTTTGGGAATTTTATATCTCTGCATGGGGAAACCATGTACACCCTATCTGGAAATCGTCATTTGCACAGATCTTCCATGTTGTGCACTACTTCTGCCCTTCGTATCGTGTTTCTTCATCTCTTCTTTTCGTGTCTCCCATGTTTTGCTGCAACACTGGTTTATTTGCTCTCGTTGACGTCGAAACTATCACTCTGCCATCTGATATGTTTGTGGCAATGAGAATCTCTTTATATACTACTGATAAATCTTGTCAGTAGCACACGCCATACTAGGTCCGATTCCCAGCCGACGCACCGTTAAACCTCGCTTAGCTGTTGTTAGTAAGTCTCGTTAAGAAAGAGGGTTGTGTTTACGGCAAGCAACCTCCCACCCTCTATAGGAAACTGAATACCTTTGCCAGAGAAACTTCCAAGCCTAAAAACTAAAGCCCTATACATTCGGCTCGGAAAGAACAAAGAACGCGAAAGAACAAAGACAGTAATGAACAGATAATAACGAAAATTTCAATATTGCAAAAATGTTCATTCAGACATCTATAAAAACAAAATAATCGAGCAAAGAATATTCTTTTCGATAAATTCCTCTTCCAGGCTCTACAATTATATATATGTTTTTATACACAGAATATTTTAAATTAGTAGTTATTAACAATATTAGCGTTTTTTCAAATAATATCGATTTGTAAAGTATGATCAATGCTATTGCAGTTCATTAATGATGCTTAAATTATAATAATAATAAAGATATAACAGCGGATAGAATATCAACTAAAATTAGGGAAATTTCACAAAATTCTGGATTATTCAAACCTGGATGGCCAAGGTAATGATAATGACTGGACTAACTTCTTCTGGGTGCATAAATTAGGCTTATTAATATGAATCCCCACAGCCTCCGCAATATTTAGAAGTCGAACTCTTAAAGCGAAATTGAGATTCATAGGTATGCGGTAAATGACCCTGAAAGCATGATTAACGTCAATCTTGTGTTCTGTCTCCACAAGATGCGCCAGAATAGCACTGCGAATAGATTTTGTTTGACCTTTGCTTAACCAGGCAGGGTGATGTTCGGAAATTCGACGAGAAACACGCCTAATTGTACGGCCTATGTAACTGGCTCCACAGGATCAGTTAAATTGGTAGATACACATGGAAGAGGCGAAATTAGGCAGTTTGTCTTTTATTCCCGAACGCAGAAGAGGAGTGGTTTTGAAGATACAGCGCAATTGAGCAGCAGGGAATGTTCTTTTTACCGCATTTCTGAGGCGATGTGTTAGTATTTCACTTGTGTTGTCTCCTAGGAACTGCATCTGCAAGAACAAGGATTTCTTTGGAACTGTTGGTACCTTGGATTGTTTTGGTTTTAGATTCATATTCCTATCAATAAACTTTTCCGGATAACCATTCTCACTTAGCAAACGTTTAATATTGTTGAGCTCCTCGTCAAGACATTCATCCGAGCAAATCTCTCTTGCTCTGTGGACCAGGCACTTTATCAGATTGCGTTTGTATTTCAAGGGCACAAAGCTGAGAAAATGTGTGTACTGGCCGGTTGATGTAGGTTTCCTATAAACATTTCTTCGTATTGTGCCATCCTCTTTTCTGGTCATAAGGACGTCTAGAAATGAAATACTAGAGTCTTTTTCTTTCTCAATAGTAAAATTTATTGCAGGATGTACCTCATTAAATTTATCCAGGATGTCCTTTGCCTCATTTTCGTTCTTCATAATCAAAAAAGTATCATCCATGTATCGACAATAAAATTCGAGTTCATTAATAACATCTTTCAAAGGCCCATTTTCTAGTTTCGCCAGGAAAATGTCGGCTAGAATGGGTCCTAGTGGCGACCCCATTGCCACACCGTCGACTTGTCTATACAGTTCCTTATTAAATAAAAAGTGGACATTCATTGTACATTTCAAGAGAAGCTCCTTCATGAAAGCTATAGGAATGCCAATCTCGATGTTTCGTCTTTTGAGTTCTTCACATATAAAGTCCACTGTTTCCATGAGAGGTACATTGGTGAATAAAGAAGATACGTCAAATGATATCATAAATTTGTTATCAACATTTAAATCTCTTATCCTTTCAACGAATCCAAATGTATCCTTTACACTATGTTTCACCAACTCAGTATGAAGGGGCTGTAAGAGTTCAACTAACCATTTGGCTACCGGATGGTATGGTGAATTTAGCATATCTAATACTGGTCGTAGCGGTACACCATTTTTGTGCACTTTAGGCGAGCCATATAGTCTTGGTGTGAACGTTCCGGTGGGTTTAAGTGTTAAACTACCAAATTTTTTTTACTCTAACAGTGTCGAAGTATATTACTTCCTTTCATAATTTGTTTTATTTTATTTATTCCGTTATATAGTTGTTTTAGCAATTATTTCTGCTACACTGGCAAATACAAATTCACATATCTTTGGATCGAAACAAATACCTCATCCATCAACATGCTTGTTAGCTGGCAGTGCAATAATCTTTTTGACCTTTTTAATCGCAATCATTCCGTGTCTTGAACAATGAATTCATATTTTATATTAATAATAATAATTGTAATTGTTTTACAATCTGTGACACAATATACATCAATCAAACGAATGATTCTGATTGTTTTATACGCTCAAAATACACACCCAAACACACACACACACACCTACACACTCACTAAAGAAACTGCATGAGCAAAATTCATTCATCTGGATTGTTGTTGCTGTTTCACGAAAATACACTAATCCATACTACTGAAGTCAGTATTATAACTGTCACCTAATTCCAAGGAGGTGGTGTAGAAAGGACGGATTTCTCATCATCTAAGAGTCAACCTTGTAACAGGTAATTAATAATGCAACACGATAAGGACTCAAAAGACTATTTTTCATCCTGTGACAAACATTCCTTTTCAGTCTATGTGTACACTTGATTCCCTTGATAAGTTTCGATAAAGAAAGAAAGATCAGATTTGCAGTATCAAATGATATCATCATTTTATGTCACAGGATTGCATCCGAAATATAAGCAATACAATTGCCTTCAGTATACGTTACCATAGAAAAGGAACGAAGTGGATAGAGTAGACAAAAAAACTGAAAAATCTGATAAGCAAACAATTGTTAGGTTGTAGGTTTACCTAGCAACTAGGGAAGGTTATAGTTGAAAAGATTGAAAAGATGTGCTCAATGAGCTGAAGTCACTCATTCATATGGATGACTAATCAATATAATCAAAATGCAGTTAGTTACCAAGGTAGTGAGAGATTGATTGTAGTTGAATGTAGCTGAAACGATGCCTACCTTATTGTATCAAAGAAGTTACCCCATTCAGACTACTTCCGTTAGTAGTGACAGGTGCCTGTTGTTATTTGTTAGTTATCTTCATCACCTCTGTCTTTTCTGTAGTCACTTGAAGTCCTGTCTTTGCTGAGCTTTCTATTGTGAAACACTTATTATGTGGCACCATTCTCACCGTAGAACTGTTGAATGGGGTTTGTAAATGTGGGCCATACTACAGTCCGTAGTTTTGAAGCAGTTTCCAAATTACTTCATGGTCAGCGGTGTCGAAGGTCTTTTCAAAGTTGGCGTGATCTGTCGACCATTCTGTGCTCTCTTCACTGATGATGGTGATCCCTAGGGTTGCAATTCGGTTCATATATGATATACTTTCTCCCAATTCAGCCTGTTCCAAGTGGGGGTTTGAATCCAGAGTGACACAACCTAATATTTTGTTTTGTATGGACAAGAGGATGATTTCTCACCAGTTCTTGCAAAGGCTTTCACCGCCCTTTTTCGGTAAGCTGACAAGGTAGCCCGTCTTCTGATCGGACGGTACTTATTCTTCCCTGCAAACTTTCTGCAACAGTGCTGTCATTAAACCCGCTGATGTCTTTGAATCCGTTGTGAGTTATTTAGTAGGATTTCTGTCCGGTCGTGCTGCCTTTCTGTACCTTGATAGCGTTTAACAGGTAAGCTTTTGGTGACGGTTTGGAGTTTCCTTGCAGTACTATGACTGTCGGTCGTATTTTTGGGACCAGTTGAAGGTGGTGGTCGATTCAGGAGTCCTTTGAAGTGATCAGATTACTGTTTCCTTTCCTTCGCCTCTTTAGTAACTGGGTTCTCTTTGCCATCCTTCATTCATTTCATCTGAGGTCTCTCTTACCTGTGGCCTGTTCTGCTTCAGTTTCCAGTGTGTCGTAAAACTGACTTTTCTCTTCCTTAGCAATCTTCTTCACTTCTTTATTCAATGAGATGTACACTGAATTCAGCTTCTCCTTCTGTTTTCCATCTTAGCATTGTACCATCTTCCGTTTCAACATCCCCTTTTCCACTATCAGCCTCTTTTTGTCCATAGACAACCAATCGTTGTCTTACCTCTTCTTTCTTACTTCTAAAGTCTATTGCACACGTTTCTTTCAACATTGCTTCCAATTAGTTGCATTGTTCTCCCACACAGGTATCCTTGGTGATGCTACATAATGTCGCTGACTTTGCTCTGATGAATGCTTGAGCTTCTGAATACTGAACATGAATTCTCGTTTATATCCAGTTGGTATGAAGGCTTTCAATTTGACCCAGAAAGTTCCTTGCATTAGATAATGGTCTAAGACCACATTTGATACTCTGTTCAATTTTGTGTCCATTAGGCTACCTTGCTGTGTTGCTCTATTTGACCAAACTAGCGTACACGTATATCCTAGTACTTCTTCAAGTTTATTATTGTGTCCTAACGTTATAATTACTCGACATCCACAACGTAAATCAAAAGGCACTTGATAAGTAGTACGAACGTGTATTCCCACAGTAGTCAAAATTCAATAGTTGAGCGAGTACAATGTATCAATTTTTACTACGTAATCTTTAGAGTGATAAACAAATCAAAGTCCAGTTACATAATAAAAGTATACTACTATGATGAATAATAAAATGGGTCACTACAATACTTCCTCCTTAGAATGCAGGTAAATGAAGTTTACCTGTATTCGGCATGTTATTGTAAATTACAATGGCATAAAAAGTATATATAAGATTTTTCTGGTATGAAAACCGAATTGAGGCTTTTAAGTTTTCTGAGGTTTGTTAATATAACTGTACATTTTCGAAAATGCTAACAACTTTGAAACAAACCAAAATGTTTAGAATGTTGTGCAAAATGTAACAATAAAACCAGAAAAATTATTAGAATAATAATGAGGTTGTTATTGTATATCTTAACATACAGTTAATAGCACAATAATAAGGAATTATGGAAATGAATTAGAAATAAATTGTCTGTACAAATCTTTACGGGCAATGTACTCGCCTGCCTGACCTTGTGGTTCTTTCTGTTTTGTTAGCCAGAATATCATCAAATTTTGAACATGGAGAGCAGGAATCATTTTGTGTTCAAACATTGTTTATTAGTACTTTGGATCAGTTCCTTCGGGTCGTTGATTTTACGTTTTGCTGTTTTAGATTAGATAAGTTTATTTCAAGTAATACACAGTGATGACGAAGTATTAACAAATGGATGAAATTGTTTCGTGCAGAAATTATTGCTGCTCATAATCATCTTGTTATGGTTCTTCTTATATTTATGCTCCTCTCCATTTTTCGTCTGTTTGTTTATTTTCCCATAAGTGTAACCGCCATTTAAACTGTGTGATACCTGTTATTTTTCGCCTTTCCCCTCACCCTGCCATATCAACAGAACATTAGATTCACTAATCCATAACATGCTGAAATTTCCGAACTGAATCAACAATACTGTTTGAAACAAACCCACTGTTATTATCATTATTATTATTCTCATTTTGTACTTTGAATATTTTTGACTTTATACCGTAGATGTGGACAAATTCCTCTGGTTAATTTTATTTCTATTTCGAGTGAATCAAATGCAATATTGTGAGAAATGCTGAGAATTCCATTCTGTATTATCAGTACTGATTTTGGAATAAAGTAGATTATTATTCTTACTATTATCATTTCAATTTAGTCACACGTTCTCACAGTTTGTCTTGTGTATATTTTCTCTCTTTCTGTCTCGCCAACTTCCCTTTGTTGTTACCTGCCACTTTGCATATATCCGATATAGGCGTTGGGTCATTTTGATTGCACGTGTGTGATGTTGAATCGATAACCAAAGATTCAGTGGTTAGCCTCTCTCTCTCTCTCACTTCACCTAACTATATTACTCTTGAATACTCTCACCCTGTCCCATACAACCTATTGTGTGATCACGGGCAAGTGAATGAAATGCAATGGCTGACCTTTGTGTTTTCTAGGTTATCTAACTTAACTTACCAGGGTCAGTAATTCTAGGTCTAGCTAAATTCCTCTGTCCCAATAATCTAGTTCACCCCAATCTACTAGTTTTAAGTATGTGTAATTGACCTCACAGTCGTTAATTGCATGATATTTGGTAAACTATATTATTTTTATTGATTACATCTAACAGGTCCTTGAGCTAACAGAATTTATCACTGAGAGTGTTGGTTGGTTGGTTGGTTGATTGGTTTAAATGCCACCCCGACTAATTCCAGCCTCATTGGGTATCCTAGGCAAAGACGTTCCTTCTTTATACAGAAGTACTACAGAGGCTTTGAATTCTGTATTATTTTCGTCATTTTCATTACTCATCGCGTTTTTCCTAAGGGTCTTCATCCCCTTCTGAATAAATTCTGCTAGTTAGTGTGTTATTCACTAGTGATATTTGCCTTATTTCTTAGATTTCACTATTTAAATCTTCTTTCTGTCTTATTAGTTGGCCTGCTGACCTGTATGATATAGACATTTAACTAGACCTATCTTCATCGATTCTGGTTAGGACGAATAAAAGTCTAAGCATTTATTACAGTGTGTCGCTTTCCTGTAAGCACTAGCATAGCCAACTCACCCTGTTCTTTTTGTTAGTCAAAAGTGAATTGTATTCTGTCTACTATTGGGTTTATGTGCGTGAAAATCTGAAGGGGATACCTTGTGATTTGAACACAGTGATGGAATGTGCCATCCACAGATACCTCCACCATAACCTAGGTGGAGTAGGATTAAACGTTCTAAAAGCTTTTAATTCCCAACTACCCATATAGCTGCTACTATTGGGGATATTGATGATCCCATTTATAAGAGAAACACTGAAAACATTAGATATGGCCATGAAAGCCAAAATGATGAAAGTTTCCCTTAAATCTACACTATTCATTCAGTAGATGATTGCATTGAAAGTCCATACAACATGTGCTCTATTATAATATTGATTTTATTCATTGTCTACTTAAGAAGATAATTATTAGAAAAACAAATTCTTCGCCGCTCTCAACATTTGTTGGACAGGTGCATAAAGCAGACGGAACTAGATTGTAGAGCAAACAATGCGAACTTTTGTGAACGACGTAGTGCCTGACAACACGACAGCTTCTTTTGAGGTCAGTAGTATAGTGATAATCAGTTTCTGCCTCCTTTCCTCCATGTTTCCTTATTTCTTCTCCCTGTTTTACAGAGCCTAAGAATACTAGTAAGACAATAAATCCTCCTCAGGAAAAAAACTTGCCCTTCAAACAAAAGGGTACCCATCGTGTCTTAACTTCTTTCTAAGCTCTCCCCTTGACCAAAAATCACGGCTGTCAAAAAAATAGTAATATCTAATATTCCATTTATTTCTGGCTGTGTAAGAACATACCAGTTGTACAGGTATGGACAGGTATTATTTAAATTACTTAAATTTGGTTGATGATGAATTTAATTGGTTGCTGTTCATATTGACTTTGGTTTGTATGAACAGTGTCCTAACTAATCAGACGATGTAGCACGCTAAGAAATATTAACTTTGCATTAACAAACAAAGCCGAAGTCTGTGTTGGATGAATCACAAATACCTGGGGAGAAATAAAGCTT